TCGATGCGTTGCGACAGTCAATATAAAACTAGTAGCAAATCCAGATAACTCGCCCGCTACCGCGGAGCTAAAGGGAGGAGCTAGGATCTCGCGGCTGCGAACGTCACCACAACGCTTCGATCTAAAACTCGCTAATACGTCATAGATGTCCCTTCCATCGAGCAAAAGCCCCTAGCGAAAAGAATCGCAACAACAAATAAAAGCAATTGGCCGCCATGGATTTCCCAAGGATAGCAAGCTTTTCCAAGGACGACTTGTGGAGGGTAAATTCACTCGAAAGCGCTAGTGCTGTGTCGGTCCTTTCCAACTCGCCATGTCGCAATTAATCAATCGCATCCGCTTACCACGCGCTTTTCGCCCTCCAGCCCAGATCAACGCAGAAGAAGGCACGAATGGACACCCAGAAACGAATCGCGGGAAGACGGCGCCCAAGGAAGCGGAAAATGGCAATGGGAAACAGGAACAGTCTGAGATGCAACCTGTGGGGTTCTGGCATCCCGATCTGCGACAGGTGCGCAACCGCGCATTCGTGAAATGGATCATCACGACGGCATTCTTGATGGCATTCATCCTCTGTGTGCTATCGCTGTACTGGGCTGTGTTCTTCAAGGTCGAAAACAGGCTGAGCCATTTGCTGGTCTATGTCGTGGACATGGATGGAGCGGCGCCTTATGACAACACAGGAAACGCGCCATTTGTTGGACCGACCATCACGCAATTAGTACAACAACAGCTGAGCAGCGGTCAGCCGACACTGGGATGGGGGATCAGGCCTGGTTCAGATTTCAACAACGATCCATTGGAAGTCCGACAGGCTGTCTACAACTGGGATGCCTGGGCTGCTATTGTCATCAACCCCAACGCGAGCGCGCTGTTGTACTCTGCTGTTGCCAACGGAAACACGAGTTACGACCCTCTGGGAGCATGCCAATTGATCTACCAGGACGCAAGAGATGACACGAACTGGTTTGATTTCATGTTCCCCATTATCAGCCAGTTCATGACGCAGGCCCAGAGTATGGTTGGACAGCAATGGGCACAGATGGCTATGCAGAGGGCGAGCGACCCAGCAGTATTATCAAACATTCAGAACGTACCCCAGGCCATCAACCCGGCGATCGGCTTCTCTGAGTTCAACCTGCGGCCTTTCTATCCATACACTGGCATTCCCGCTGTGTCTATCGGACTCATCTGTAAGACGCCTTACAACTCCCACCTTGGCCGTGACTAATCAAATTCGCAGATCTCATCATCATATCCTTTTTCAGCTTTAGCTTCTACATGCCCATCCACATGCAATACCTCAAGCCCGAAAACCACCCACCGCTCAAGTTCCCCCAACTAATCGTGTGGCGCTGGTGCGCCACCATATGTGCCTACTTCATGCTCTCCCTCGCCTACTCCTTCGTGTCCATGGCTTTCCAAATCAACTTCTGGCATACCAACTCCATCACCAGCGAAACGCAGGTTACGAATATGATGGAAGGTAATCCGGTAGCGTATGGAAGCGGCACGTTCGTCGTGTACTGGATGCTCAACTTCTGCGGTATGATTGCGCTGGGGTTAGCATGTGAGAACGTGGCCATGATTGTGGGTATGCCGTGGATGGGATTATTTTTGATCTTCTGGGTCATTAGCAATGTTTCCACTGCGTTTTATGATATCGAGATCGCGCCTGGGTTCTACAGGTGGGGATACGCCTGGCCGCTTCATTCAAGTAAGTCATTTTCGACTCCGCACCTCGGTGATATCAATAGCTAACGTCAAATGCGTAGTTGTCGAAGGAAGTCGATCGATACTGTTCGATCTACATTCCAGAATAGGACTGGACTTCGGTATTCTGCTTGCGTGGGGAGCAGTCAACACGCTGTTCTTCCCCTTCTGTTGTTGGTTTATGAGTAAGTCTCTTCTGCACACCGGGGCTGTTACACATACTGACTTTGAACAGGATGGAAAACACAACACAACATCCATGAATATTGGCCTCTAGACTAAGATGGGAGAGCTTTTGTCGTATCCCAACTACGGCATCTTGAATATTAGTTCGCAGTTGTCACCACATATCATAATGCATATATAATAATACTCATACTCATGTTCGTTTCGTTTTCCAATTTGCACTTTGTTCTCATCTCCCGATTTCAGTGTTGCAGCATGGCAAATGTACAAAGATAATATTGCGGTATAACGAGGGTATCAGGTCTTAATAATCATAGTGGTAGCCGGAACAACTCCACGCTGCTCGTGTGTCGTATAGTATTCGTAATTCATAACTCGTCATGTACTTCCCCGTACACGTGCCACCTCAACTGCAGCATCTGTCATAGGTTCATGGACATCTTCCTTGCTCGGACCGCTTGTAAGAATGCTCCATAGCTCCAGGTCAGATCGTTGGCTCCCCTCATGTAGCCCGTCACGCGGTCGAACTGCTCACTCATGCTTCCGTCAGCATCGACGTGCGTCTTGATGACCTCGAGGAACTGGTCGCCAGTGGTGTGCAAGCGCTCAATGACAGAGTGGAAGAGCGCGTCGGAGTCACCGTAGGTACCAACATCGACGAAGAGGGAAGAAGTTGCAAGAAGGGCTTCAAAGAATGGTAGACCGGTGTTAGAGATGGTTAGGTTGCCGGCGACCGAAATGTGTGCTGCGGTGCGGTAGAGGACCTCAGCGGCTGATGAAGTGCACAAGAACCAGGGATTGCCTCCACGGTTCGAGGTGCCGTATCCGTCGTAAACATCCTCGGGGTATCGACCAAGGCCAGTGCCTTCAAAAGAATCTTCTTCCATGTCGTCACCCTTGTCCTCGTCGGTTGGGCGGCTATTGATTGGGAAACGATCGCGTTGGTCGCGAGTCAGAGCCAGAAGCGACATGAGCATCTCATCAGACCATGGTGGATATACAACATCACTTTCGAAATCCCCTGCAGGTAGAGCGTGGAGCGAGCCAAGGAGCAACCCACAGTCCAATCCGCTGCGCTGGCTGGACAGTGTCTCAACAAGATGGCCTTTCTGGGCATCCCAGAACTTGCCGAGGAAAGCCTCGATGTACCCAGCTTGCTCCTCGTACCAGGCCGCTGCACCCATGTCTCCGAATGTCCTTGCAAGGTCGGTGCCTTCCCTCAAGCTTCTTGCGCTGACCATCAGATTGAAGAAGTGCAAACCCTCAACTTCTTCCCAAAGATCGAAGCTCGACTGGTTCCAGAAGTGACTGACGTACTCCAGGTCGGCCTTTATGACACTACGTGGAGGCATCTCCACGGCATAGTATGGTCGGAAGAAGTCTTCAGCTGACTCTGAGCTCCAAAGCAGAGGATGTGAGGCATTGTATTCTCGTAGATAGTGCATGAGAGTCAACGCGCGCAGAGCCGGGCCATCCCGCTGAGGGCGTCCCCATGAGCCAGTAAACGGTGTTCCGTCTACGTGAAACTTAGGCTCACCAAGCCCAGAGAGATCGTCAAAGGTACCGGAAGGGTTTGAAGTATGCTGGATATCGCTCGAGAGGGAGGTATACGCGTCGAGGATGGTAGAGAGTGCGGAACCGCGAGAAGAAGATGGTTCGTCGGCGTAGACATCTACGAGGGTGTTCATAGTGATCGCAGCATCGCGAACCCCTGTTCGAAGTGTATTAGTAGACGCTCAGTGGTAGGTATAGGTTGGTGCCACTCACATTGGAACCAGTAGTCTGGCTCGTCCCGACTCGGACTCGCAATGACCGTGCCATCCGCTACGCCCTTGCCTTGTATATTACTGCCTCCGGGTGCGACATTTGCCAGGAGTTTGTCCAGAGCTATGCGCTCTTCCTTCTCGATCCACGCATCGAACGTGTCTTGCAGTGGTTGTTGCTGTTTTTGTGTTCGACTGGCGCCAACGAAAGTACTCAGCGGAGGGAGACGCGGTATTGAGAAGGCATAGGCGTGGTGGAGGAAGCCTGCAAGGAGGACTACGCGAGGAAGCATGGCAGCTGACTGTCGGATTGGCTGGGTAGGGCCGATGGACTAGGACACTGGAAGAAGTGTAGTGTAGTTAGCAGTTTATAACTAGCGCACAGCGGAGCAGAAAACAAAATGAGGAAGCAGAATAGAGATCTCGTGGAGTCTAGGTGTTAGTAGTCGATCAAAGAGACACAAGAGCCGCCCATGGCCCCCGAGGCCCCAGGCGTCCACGCTCTGCGCTTCGGCGGTCATTCCTTTCATCGGCCATGATTCTCGATCACGATGATGACGGTAAGTCGCGTGCCAGGACTAGCGGAGTGCGTGGACGAGTAGGAGGCGGTGGACGGGGTCGCACGGGCGGTCAATTGTCTTGTTTGACATGGCGGGTGATGTGTAAAATGCCACGCGAGCCGACGCCAACAACGTCACGCGACCCACTTCCGCGGATCTGGGGTAAGCATGCAAGGCACCTTCTGGCTGGGCGTGCGACACGAAAATATGCCGAGGTCTGCGCATAGTCGCACATGAAATTCGGATTTGTACACAAGAAGTAAATGATGTCGACAAATAATACAGTGTCATTCAATGACTGCTTTGCCCTTTGGTTGACTCGTGGCATGATACTTCTCCTTGTCTAGATCATGCCGAGGTACTACGGACTGCTCATCATCCAAACTAGCTGAAGCGCGTCAGCTCTGGCCCATGTCTGTCGGCCATCGGTTGGGAATCGTAAGAAAACACCATGATATGAAATGGCTATAACCCGTATCGACAACTTGAGATTGATTCCGACGTTCTCCGAGGTCCGGACGTATGAGGGGTCCAGTCGGCTACTTGCATGTAGCCGCAATGCATGTCGGTTGTTCCCGTCACCTCTGAGCTCATCAAAGTATCATCTGTCCATACCAGACACGCGAATTGTGCAAAGACGGTAGAGTTGTTCTCCATCACCGGTTTCTTTCTCTATTCCGCGACTGGAACTTGGCTCCCGGTCGTCCCGACGGTTCTTTGTCTGGAAGTATTGGGGTCTATGACGTTCAATTGACAGCTCCGACACTTCCCATCCAGTATGCTATCACAGCAAGCGCGAGTGTTGCGCAACGTTCGGTCGGCGCGAAAACCTGGCCAACGGATACCTTGTGCTACTTTCTCGGCCTCTTCACGATACAGCAACTACGATGACACCATTCAGAATCTCAAGATCGGATCACACACTCGCGTTATATTCCAAGGATTCACCGGCAAGCAAGCTACTGCAAATGCAAAAGAGTCGATAGCATGGGGCACGAACGTTGTCGGCGGCGTAAAGCCGAATGGTTCAGGCGAGCATCTCGGGCTGCCTGTCCTGCCATCTGTGAGGGCTGCAATGGAACAGCTAAGACCTGATGCAACGGGAATCTATGTCGCAGCACACCAAGCAACCGCTGCAATTGAAGAGGCGATCGAAGCTGAGGTGCCGCTCATCGTAGCAGTCGCGGAGCATATTCCGTTGCATGATATGATGAGGATACATTCCATGCTACAGTCGCAGTCCAAGTCGCGGCTCGTAGGTGCCAACGCTCCAGGAATAATCTCGGCGATTGGAAGATGCAGGATTGGATTTCAACCACTTCCCACATTCTCTCCCGGACACATCGGCATTGTGGCAAAATCTGGGACTCTCTCATACGAAACCGTCGGATCTCTGACAAGAGCTGGTGTTGGGCAAAGTCTTTGTATCGCAGTAGGGGGTGACGTGGTGGCTGGGACCAACTTCGTTGACGCGTTGAAAGTCTTCGAGGGTGATGTAGACACAGAGGCTATTATCATCGTTGGTGAATTAGGTGGTACAACGGAAGAGGAGGCAGCAGATTGGATCAAAGATTACAGAAAGCGCGTTAAGAACCCGAAACCTATCGCTGCTGTCATCGGAGGCTTTGAAGCACCGCCTGGCAAAGTCATGGGTCATGCGGGAGCTTGGGTTGGTCTAGGAGAGGGTAATGCAGCTTCAAAGTACAAAGCGCTGGAGGATGCCGGTGTGACTATGGTAGATCACCCTGCCAAATTTGGCGGTGTGATGAAAGACATTCTTGCCAAGTCAGGTCGCAATGTGAGGAAAATCGTATGTTGAAAGTGACGGGAGACCTAAGAAATAGACACTGACATCGACCAGGAACAATCAGCAGCTCAACAGCGTCGTTCGTATCACACTTCAAGCTTCACACGGCGGCCTATCATTTCCACCAGACCATCGATCCCACTCCAGCAAAGACGTTCTCTCCACCTTACCAAGGACCAGTCTACGAACCTTCTCGCGACATACAAAATTGACCTGACAACACCACCAGAGGGCTCGCCTTCGACACACTACCTAGGCATTTCCCCACACCGCTCAGCACGCAGTCCCTCAATCATAGCATCACCCACCGCAAACCCTGCCAAAATGAACCAACGCGTCCGCCGTTTTCCGTTCGACTACCGTTCAGGTCCCAGTAAAGAAGTCATCCAATCTGCCATCGCACACATGCAACTGGACGCCGCCCCACCAATGGCCAAAGCCCAAACCGTCGAGTTGATCAATAACCTCTGGAAATTGTACAAAGAGAAAGAAGCAATCGATACCCACGTCAAAGTCGCTTTATCCGTCGAAAGCGACGAGATACTCATCTACGAACCGTACTTGTTCTTCGACGACGCAGCCTTCAAATCCGGCAAAAGACAGGCTGATCTCCACGCTCTCCGTGACCAAGAGTCTGTTTTAGCAACAGATCGAGAAGCTGAAGAAGCCGGTATCGTGTACATACCGCTGGGGTCTCCTGAATTTCCGCCGGGGACTAGTCAGGCGGGAACACAGACGCCGCCGTCTTCCACAGCAGAAGAGGGACCGCGTAATCTGATTGGTACTTTGGTGAATGGCGCTGGACTGGCACTAAATACTATTGATACGCTTTCTCTGCGGCTTTCACAGCCGCCTTATTCGACTTCTGCTGCTAATTTCTTGGACACGGGTGGAAAGGCGACGTCCGCCACGATCAAGACGTCCTTCAAACTCATCCTGTCCGACCCCCGGGTGTCTGTAGTGTTTGTAAATATCTTTGGAGGACTGACGTTGTGCGATATGATTGCCGAGGGTATCATCATGGCGTTCAAGGAGATCGGGGTGGAGAAACCAGTGGTCGTCAGACTGAGAGGGACGAACGAAGAGAAAGGGCAAAAGGTACTGGAAGAAGCCAAACTGCCTATCCATGCCTTCGACGACTTTGAAGAGGCGGTCAAGAAAGTGGGAGAACTGGCTAATGCGAGCGGAACAAAGTGAGGACTAGCTTCATAGACACACGGATATATTTACATTGGCAACAGTGAAAATAGGGGGGGATATCAGATTAAAATACTCTACTGTTGACCACCCGGACAACCCAGTCTCCGCATTCACGCAAGAACGAATGTGTTGCCGCTCCCGCCGCTGAGAACAAGTCCCTGAAAAGTTCATTTTTCTTTCCAAAAGGGAGCCAGCCACCGTTTGTCCTTTCGTGCAATAGCGTACAAGCCTCCTCCCTGTACGCCTGTGAAAAAAGCTGAGAGAAAATTTGGGTGGTGGTGGTATCTGCGAACAAATCGAAATGAAGTAAAGCACGTTGGAACTCAAGCGCGGGGGGCGAGCCTCCAAATACCCAAAACATGCGCGAGACCGTAGGGTTCAAGGAAAATGGTGGTGAGCCTATGCAAGGTATTGGAAGGCGGTGCTTAGTATCGTTAGCTGTGCTCAGATTTGAATGTGTGAAGTGGAGATATACCCTATGATTGCCATGACACCCATACCAACAAGTGCTCTCCGTGTGACCTTCTCCTTGGTCAACTTCTGCTCGGTGGTGTAAGCAACCTTTGCAAGTTTGCTCATACGCTCGGCGGCGAGATCTTCCGCCTCCAAAACGTCCTCAATGCCACGCTTTGTCGACTTGGTGACATTGGCTGACGAGTCGCCTTCTAGCCGTTGTGCTTCTGCGACCATGCGCTTGGCCTCCTCGATCATGGCGGTAGGATCTTCTGGCTCGGGAAGCGCAGCATGGCTGTGAGGGACATCGACGGTGACGTTGGTGCTGGTCTTCTCAGTATCGCCATTTGTCTCCACGGTCTGCTCGACTTCAATATGAACTGTGCCCTCCTTGACGTCTGGCTCGGTCTTGAGCTCAGACACTGCCTCCTTCTCCTTCACATCGCCATCGACGGATGATGCGACTGACTCAGAAGGTGTGGTACCGTTCGCAATGATTGCTTGCAGAGCGCTTGATGGGGTGACAGCCTCATCGGCCTTGGTAAGGTCAGGCTTCATCGCGCTTCTTGTGGCTCGCGACTTTCGTGGAGTCGCAAACTTTCGGCTGCTGGGGGTTGCGCCTCGGCTAGGTGATACAGATCGAGCTGAGCGGGCGCGAGTTGTGCGAAGACCGGGTGCGGGGAGAGTTACGGGTGTGGCGTTTGCGACGTCAAACTTTGGGGGCATTTGGATATGCGTGTTTGATTTGTCCTTGTTGCCCTTTTCGATCGGCGCGGGGTCTAGAAGTGCCTCAATCCAATGGCGCATAGAATACTCATCGGACAACGCGAGAGCTAGAGGGACCTTTGTTTAGCGCGAGTTTTCGAGAACAGGTGAAGGTAAGTTACTCACCCTCTTCAGGCGCAATCCATACGCTTCCAGCAACCTCTTCGGCGCCTGCAGAAGGGAATGTCTTTTGGTACTTGCGCTCCAAATCCTCTTCTACGACCGAAGCCCATGGGAATGCAGCCTTGAACATGCCTGTCGCACTAATGTAGCCATCGCTGCTGCGTCGCTGTTTGTCGTGTTAGTCGCATCCTGAGCGAAATCTTGCGGCTTCTTTTTCATAACGCGTACCATCAGAAAGTAAGATTCGGGGAAAGCCGAGGTCTTGTTCAATGTGAAGATGCCGGATCCTGTCAAGTCCTTTGGCAGCGGAACCCTCAGATGCGCGTAATCAAACGTGCCCATGTTCTCCGGCTTGGTCGCATTGGTAAGACCGCTGACGCCGGGCTTTACGCCGAGGTTTGTCTGTCCTAGTCGGCGCCTCTCGATGAGAATCTCAACTGCGCGCATTGGTTAGATGACTGGTCGCAACGACGCGATGCGCAACGTGTACGTACTGGCTGTGGATTCGGTGGGCTCGAGAAGAGGATTCTTCCTCTCGGGCAGGTTGCGGTGGGAGACCATTTTGGAGGTGTTGCCGGTAGGTCTCGAAGTCTGGCCTGATGTGCGCGTAGTAATATAACGCGTGTTGGCGATGAATGGAGCGCGCAGCGCAAAGGTGGTTGCGTGAAGATTTGACGGTTCCGTCCACGTATGACGCGCGCAATCGTCAGTAACAATGTACTGCCGGACCGAGTCGCGCGACGAGTGAAGACAGCTGAGTGTCGAATCGAGACGGGATGGCGACGTGGGCGAGGGCGTGGTGAAAGCGCGCGATCGACGTGATGAAAGGTGGTGCGATGCGACGGAGGCGGACAGGAAGGAGCGATGGGTGCTATCCCTGTGCACTAGCGCTCCCAGAACGAAGACCCCCAGCCACCCCGGACAGCTGCGCGAACGCAAAAGTTTCGCGGCAACCCTTTCTAGTGTATTTGCAATGCTGGTAGTGCTTACCGATTGGCCGTGCCGATATTGTCATGGCATAGCAGGCCCGAAGAAGCGTCGCCTGTCTTTCCACGGGCTCAATGGGGAAAGCGGTCAAAGTCACGCGTTTCCGCTCTTCTCTCGTGACGCGTTGCTGTGGACAGCACCTGGGCATCACCCTTCCACCCCCAAACACGGCGAGCAATGCTCCCACTCGGTCAATGCAGCCTCGATTGATGCAGTTTGGAGAGAATGTCGGCGGCTAGGATGGCTCATTGGATTAGTGATCATTGGTCGCGCGCGGCAATACATCTTCACAACTAATTGAGGCGCCCAAAGTGACGGTATGCTCAATTCGCAAACCAGCTACAAAGACGATTTTTGTTCCACATCGGTTCTTGCCTGGGCATCACCTGGTACCATCCCTTTAGCATTATATCTCCGGGACGGGTTGCATACGCTACTACCGATAGCGCTAACCACGTCACGAAGCTCAAGCTTAAGCTCGAGAGCTTACCGACAAGTTGTCAGTCTGGTAGAAGCTCGCGACGCGACCCTGCAGATACCGGTGGCCTGTTCCAAAAAGAACAAGAGGGGTCTGGTCCATGCTCGACCATGAGACAGTTCACACGTCAAGAATCTTCTCTGCCTGAGGACAGGACCATGGCGGACATGGTCGTGTTGCAGCAAGAGTCTGGACAGCTGCGGCATATCTGAAGGGTCCCGCAAGCACCAGGAACGCAGCCAATCAGACACTCCGACGTGCTGGAGCGGTGAATGTGCCCCGCTAACCGCGAGGCTCAACACGAGGCCGCGCCCCTCATTCCTACAATTGACCCTTTGACTTCTCCACAACATTTCTTTTGTTGCCTTGCCCTAAACACCCACCCTCACCTCCACAGTACGCACCGATACCAGCCATGGCCGACCACGCAGACGACCTCCACGCCGAGCAGACCGAGGGCTTCAAGGTTGGCGAGAAGAAGACGATTGACGAGTACCAGCAGCTGGGTAGGTTCCACAACTTCTCCGGGGAGCTAGTTGCCTGCACACATGGCTAACACGCGCGACGACAGACCAGAACGACGAGTCGCTCCAGAAGTGGAAAGCGTCCCTTGGTCTTGGACAAGGCAAGGACATCTCCGACCCCAACGATCCCCGCCGATGCATCATCCTCTCTCTCGCTCTCGAAGTCGAAGGCCGCGATGATATCGTCATCGACCTGCGCGCACCCGGTGCCGTTGAGGCTCTCGAGAAAAAGCCCTTCTCCATCAAGGAAGGTGCTCGGTTCCGCATGAAGGCACAGTTCAAGGTGCAACACGATATCTTGTCTGGTCTGAAGTACCTCCAGAAGGTCTCACGCATGGGTGTCAGCGAGAAGCTTCAGGAGATGATGGTGAGCATATCCGCCATAGAGGAGCATATGAGCAAGCACTAACGGCCATGACAGGGCTCATATGGTCCCAGCACTGAGGAGAAGCCATACTACGAGAAGAAGTGTATGTACACGCCCATGTTATCTCCCACAACCCACTAATGCCTATTCTAGTCGAACCCGAAACTGCCCCCTCCGGTATGCTCGGCCGTGGCCACTACACCGCCGTCTCCAAATTCGTCGACGATGACAACCACACCCATCTCCAGTTCAAGTGGTCATTCGACATCAAGAAGGACTGGTAGTTTGCGTGCGCATGCGTTTGGCTGAGGGGGTCATTCATGCAGCGATGTAGCGGAAGGTGTCATTTTCTTTCGATTGGAAGCGATGGATATCCAGGGCAGCTTAAGCTCCCACGAAGTAACGAAGCGACGGCCGACCATCTAGATGGACCCAACAAGTCCGGCTGGATGGCGCAAAGGCGAATTGAACAGCAGAAACGTTTCACAATTGGTCACTGCAATGTGTTGTCTTTCATCCTTGGTCTGCGTATGTTTGTTGCTCATCGATATTGTAGAAGCGAAACCACCTGGCAGCTATCGTCTTCGCCTTGACCGTACGACCTGCCCACGCTCGGTCGCCGCTTCCAGATCCGATTTTCCGAGCCGAGATACTCAGGATGGAGATGTCCTGTTCCCATGGATCTGTCATGCGTGCTTCCGCGGAGGGCTCTTGGGCATCATTCTCCATGTCTGTGTCGTCACTATCGGGCTCCTCCTGACGCTCGCGCCTACCCTCGCACTCAGCGATATGGAGCGTTACACCTGGCTTAAGCGCGACTTCTGCCGCCGCCGAGAAGCATCTGGACAGGCCTTGGGCTGAGAAGGAAGATGTTGAGGCATGCAAAGCGATTGGATTCACCAAGACGACTCTTTCCTCTTCCTCGGCATCGGCAGCGACACTGGTTCCAGCCCGACCATATGCGGTCAAGTAGGCTAACAAGGCCTGCACAGACGCGCAGAACGTAAGTTTGACATGCCGTGTCGTGAGTAAGTTCTGAAGGGTTGGCGCAACCAACTGCTCCAGACCATCCGCGTCCCGATCACCGTGATTGTGCAGTGATGTTGCAAGATCTTGGAGGAAGCCATCCCGACTTGAGCAAATGATGAGTAGTGTCGGACATGTCTCTGACTGCGTGGTGACAAGGTAGCGGAGCAAGGCCGGGAGGGTTGGCGGGTAGAGCACTGTTGGCGCGGGCGCTGGCGACATGACAGAAAGGCTGGTTGTGGAAAGTTTGTCGGCTGTCATGTGTCGGTGCAGG